CAAGATAAAAAAAAACAGAAATGTAAAATAATAATTACAACAGATTCACAATGCAATGCAATACAATAAATATATAATAATAATAAAAAGTGTGCAGGTGCAAGGTTGAGGTGGAGACTTTGCATTGAGGTATGTAATATGACTTTAGGGGGAAGTCGTGGCCTAATGGTTAGAGAGTTGGACTCATAACCCAAAGGTTGTGAGTTTGAGTCTCGTACCGGCAGGGATTGTAGGTGGGGGGGAGTGAATGTACAGCGCTCTCTCCCACCTTCAATACCACGACTGAGGTGCCCTTGAGCAAGGCACCGAACCCCCAACTGCTCCCCGGGCGCCGCAGCATAAATGGCTGCGGCGCCCGGGGAACCCCCACTGCTCCGGGTGTGTGTTCATGGTTTGTGTGTGTTCACTGCTGTGTGTGTGCACTTTGGATGGGTAAATGCAGAGCACTAATTCCGAGTATGGGTCACCATACTTGGCCACATGTCACTTCACTTCACTTCACTAATGTAATGTAGTTGTGCAAAGTATGCAAGATGCAAAAAGACAATGTTTGCATAGTCTTTGATATGATATGATATATGAAGGGGGATAATAGTGCGATCTTAGAAACAGCTTTACAATTTATTAAGGGTTCTGGTGACCTGCTTTTGTTTGTATGCAGGCAGAAGAAGAATGGATGTGTGATCTGCTTTACCGAAGGCAGGGTGGGGGAGGGGTTTGTAACTGTTTTTGAGTGCTGTGTAGCAGTGATCAAGCGTCTGATCTGCTCGAGTAGGAAAAGTTATGTGTTGGTAGAATTTAGGGAGGAGTTTTTTCAGGTTTGCTCCGTTAAAGTTTCCAGTAACAATAAAAACAGTGTCCGGGTGTTTGTTCTCCAGACCATTTATAGTTTCACTACAAAATAGTTTCAGAATGCTGGCATGGCTGCCCCTCTTGCGCTTTTTCCTCTTTCGTCGGTGCGGGTGTAAACAAAGAGGTAGATGCTTGATGAAGAAGCTGCAGTCGCTCATATTCACGCACGAGTCCAAATTGAGTGCCGATCTAATGTCTAGAAGTGTTTGACGATGTTACATCATTGTTATACATGTTACATATCATTCTCCTTTAATTTGATTTGATTTATATGACAAATCAGCAACCCCCTCTGTTACTGGCAAAGCAAGTTTGGTTTTTGATTACCTCAGCTTGTTCCCTAAACCATGAGTTTCTGTAGTTATTAATAATTTCTGACAAATATGTAGCCATCTCGTCCTGTCCATACGCATCATTATTACAACACACTAGTGATGCTCGGATGGCAGTTATTTCCGTGGGCGCTGCAGATAATAAGCGGGTCGGGTAATAAAAAATGCATTCTGATTATTTGCGGGTGTGTAATATAAATCATTAATGATGCAAATGTTAACTACATTTTCTAAAATTTTAACGTTTTAAATAGGCTACAGAAATTGAATAAACTGTAAATTAACATATTAAAGTTATTTAACAAAGCATTATTTAGTCAAGAGCAGTGAGGGATTTTCTCTCTACTTTGTTGTTTGATTAACATTAATGACAGACGGCACAACTTTATTATGCTGCTGTAACAAGACCTATTTCACGGATCCAATACTGATACACATGTGTTTTCTTTTGCAACTGTTTACATTAACTTAAGACAAAACCAACAGTGCTTATGAGGATACTTGCCAGGATGACCCTTTTGAGGTCATTTTGTGTGTATCTGGCCACTTAAGCACAAAAAGCTTTGCAGTGCGCGCTTTGGATGTGACTGTGAGTGCACAGAAAAGCGCCTCTGGAGAGCTCGAGTACCGAATGGCTTAAAAAGTGTGAAAATAATACATTTATGTGACGATGCAAACAATGCATTAGGCAATTGACAATTCTGTCAACTGTACCGAAACGCAAGCTGAAGTATCACAGCATGTGGATAATTTATTTGAAGCTGCGGATTCGGGTGACGTTTTAGCTCATCTGCGCAACACTACAAAACAGTAACTATGGAACATTTTGTTGTCTAAAAGCATGCAAATGTTAAGCCTGCAAATGAATGTCAAATGTTAAGCCTGCAAGAAAGGGAAATGTTAGTTATGATTTATTGATTAAAATGATTAATTCCACAATTTTTTTCACACCGGGAACTCAACAAAATAGCCATCAAGTTCTGTTATCCACTTCCCCTCATCCCAGCTACCTTGGAACAACTCCACAGTGCCTCCATCTTCACCAAGTTGGACATTCGAAGCCTCATCCAGATACGTGAGGGAGATGAGAGGAAGACTGCTTTCATCACTCCATCAGGGCACTATGAGTACCTCGTTATGCCATATGGGTTGGTCAACGCTACCCTCTGTATTCCAGGATTTCATGAATGAGGTGCTCCAGGACTTCCTGAACCACTTTATGATTGTGTATATCGATGACATCTTGATATACTCCTGGAACCTGGCCGAACATCGCTGCCATGTTTCGGAGGTCCTCCAATGGCTCTGCGAGTACCATCTGTTCCTCAAAACAGAGAAATGCAGCTGCCATCAGAAATCCATCCACTTCCCAGGATACATTGTCAGCCAGGAAGGCCTCAGAATGGATGAGGGGAAGGTATCTGCAGCCACCACTTGGGCCCAGGCCCACCACTGTGAAAGAACTCCAGAGATTCCTTGGTTTCGCTATCTTCTACCACAAATGTATCCAGAACTACAGCACTCTAACAGCACCACTCACTTCTCTGTTAAAAGGCAGGCCCAAGTCTCTGTCCTGGAACTCAACAGCCGAGCAAGCCATGCAAGAACTGAAGAACGCCTTCACAACCACAACACTCCTCACTCATCCTAACCCAGAGAAACCTTTTGTTAATGAAGTCGACGGTTCCACCTAAGGAGTTGGTGAGGTCTTATCCCAGCAGCAGGAGAAGTCAAATAAACTTCTTCCATGTGCCTTCTTCTCCAAAAAGTTATCTTTACTGGCCATCAAGCTCACCCTGGAGGAATGGAGGCACTGGTTGGAGGGAGCCCATCATCCATTCATTGTTCTCACTGATCACAAGAACCTCTAATACCTCAGAGAAGCCAAGAGACTGAACCCCCGACTAGCTCGATGGGCTTTATTCTTCACATGCATCCAGCTCCACATTTCCTGCCATCCAGGATCCAAAAATACCAGAGTTGATGCCCTTTCATGTCTTCATACCCCTGACGATCAGTCCGAAAAGCCAGAGTCAATGCTTCCCTACTCTCTCCTCATAAAGCCCATCAAGTGGAGTATTGATGAACAGATCCTCGAAGCTTCCACCACTAACTCTGTTCTGCTGGGATGCCCGCTGAACTCCACCTATGTTCCCAGAGTTCACCGTTTGCCAGTCATAGAATCTGCACATTCCTCATTAGGCACTGGCCACCCAGGGACAACACAAACCCTCTCACTTAAAAACCGCTACTGGTGGCCTGGCATGACAAATGACATCCGTCGTTACATCCAAGTTTGCAAGCAGTGCGCTATCTCCAAAATTCCTCACCATCTACCACCTGGGATGCTCCTCCCGCTGCCTGTTCGTCAACGCCCATGGTCACACCTGGGAATGGACTTCACAGACCTCCCTGACTCGGATGGATACACCTGGATACTGGTAATTGTTGACTGGTTTTCAAAAGCCTGCAAGTTAATTCCACTCAAGTTTCTACCTACTGCCACAGAAACCGCAGAAGCCTTGTTCATTCTGGTATTCTGTAATTTTGGTATGGCTTAAGGTATAGTCTCTGATCATGGACCACAGTTAATTTCACGTGTGTGGAAGGCCTTTTTCTCCCTCCTAGGTTTGACCATAAGCCTTATATCTGGCTGCCATCCACAGTCCAATGGGCAGACAGAGAGGAAGGTTCAGGAGGTCAGCTGCTTCCTGATGACCTTTTTCCAGAACCACCAGGACCCCTGGAGCCAGTTTCTTGCCTGGTCCAAATATGCTCAAAACTTTCTCCAGCAATCAGCAACAGGACTCACCCCATTTCTATGCATACTGGGTTTCCAGCCACTACTATCTCCCTGGTCAAGTGAGCCTTCAGATGTACCATCAGTTAATCACTGGTTCCAGGAGAACGAGAGGGTGTGGGATGAGGCTCATCACCATCTGCAGCAGGCAGTGTGGCGGCATAAGGAACACGCTGATTCCCGGAGAAACATCACACCCATCTACCAGCCTGGACAACTAGTGTGGCTCTGAACCTGAGATATCCAGCTGTGCCTGCCCTGAAGCAAGCTTAGTCCCAAGTACATTGGTCCATTCCAGGTCGTAAAACAAGTCAACCCCGTCACTTATGAACTGAATATACTAACACACTACCATATTCACCCTACGTTCCATGTATCTCTCTTGAATCCTCACCATCCACCTGTTTCTGCCCCTTACACAGAGCCTGGTATCCATAGACTACATTGTCTTCATTGTGTTTATGTACCTAAGGGATGTCCAATCCTGCTCCTGGAGGGCCACTGTCCTGTAAAGTTTAGCTCCAACCCCTATTAAACACACCTGAACCAGCTAATCAAGGTCTTACTAGGCATACTAGAAACATCTAGGCATATGTTTTGAGGCAAATTGGAACTAAACTCTTCAGGACATTGGCCCTCCAGGATTGAGTTTGGATACCCCTGACTTACATGCTTACATGCAAGGATACTGTTTAATATAGCTAAGATGGGTTGAGGGTGAGTAAATTATGGGATAACTTTCATTTTTGTACTATTTTTGAACTATCCCATTTTGAACTATACCTTTAAATAAGGGCATTTTTTAATTTACATTTTTACATTTATTTAGCTTTCAGAAGAAGAAATTGGGAAATTGAAGAAAAATAGAAAGATGTTGATAATTTTACTTTTTTAAAGCTTTCTTTTAAATTACATATTACAATGTAGAATATATTGCAGTACTTTACCACAAATGTTCTGCAGCATGCCTTGCACATTTATAACAATAAATGACACTATGCCTTTTATTTTTACAGATAATTGCCAGAGAGCAAAGAACAGAAAGTGAGGGACCACATGAGCATTTACGTGTAGAAGATGAAAAGCTTGCAATGACAAAAACACTCCTTCACAGATTTCACCTTGACAAGCATGGATATAAATTGAGAGCTGCAGATTTTCTTCAGATAACTGAACATTCATTACAGTCCCATGTGTTTTGTGCTGAAGAAGAGCTGATTCAGACTTTCCTTCAAAAACTACTGATAATGGACTACAGAGCAAGATACATTAATGTTGAGACCAATGACGAAGGTCACAACCAACAAGGCAGCAGTGATTCGCCTATACAGGAAGCAGATTGTGATGATATATTTTTTGAATTAATGTCTAACAGAGAAAGAAGTAAATTTGACCCTGTGCACCCAATGGATGTTCAGATGGTTGTGTTTCATTGTGCTGATGGTTTCCTGAAGCAGCTAATGGTGACTAAACTGTCCCAGTGTCAGTACGCTCTGCCTTTGCTTGTTCCTGATCCATTCACACAACAGATTGAGTTTCCTCTCTGGACATTCAGACAAATCAACAAGAGCTGGAAGATGACAAACATCAACAATGAAACGATCAGTCAAACCCAGCCGATCTACAAGGCAGAAACTCCAATGGTGTTTTTCTTCAGGTTTGGCTCTGTGTCTTCATCCAAGTCTCAGCTGATGAATAGTTTGATCAATGAGAAACACAACACGTTCTTTCACAGGAACTGCCCAGGCAGCAGCAGCACCAGAGTCCTGATGGATGGAGTGGTGGAGATTGCCTGGTTCTGCCCCTCTGGGAAAAACGTGGATAAATTCAGTAACCTGTGCATTCTGTAATCTACATGGAGATGCAGGAGTCCATGAGAAACAGCTGCAGATCCTCACTGAAATGGGGATGCTCCTCCCGCTGCCTGTTCGTCAACGCCCATGGTCACACCTGGGAATGGACTTCACAGACCTCCCTGACTCGGATGGATACACCTGGATACTGGTAATTGTTGACTGGTTTTCAAAAGCCTGCAAGTTAATTCCACTCAAGTTTCTACCTACTGCCACAGAAACCGCAGAAGCCTTGTTCATTCTGGTATTCTGTAATTTTGGTATGGCTTAAGGTATAGTCTCTGATCATGGACCACAGTTAATTTCACGTGTGTGGAAGGCCTTTTTCTCCCTCCTAGGTTTGACCATAAGCCTTATATCTGGCTGCCATCCACAGTCCAATGGGCAGACAGAGAGGAAGGTTCAGGAGGTCAGCTGCTTCCTGATGACCTTTTTCCAGAACCACCAGGACCCCTGGAGCCAGTTTCTTGCCTGGTCCAAATATGCTCAAAACTTTCTCCAGCAATCAGCAACAGGACTCACCCCATTTCTAGGCATACTGGGTTTCCAGCCACTACTATCTCCCTGGTCAAGTGAGCCTTCAGATGTACCATCAGTTAATCACTGGTTCCAGGAGAACGAGAGGGTGTGGGATGAGGCTCATCACCATCTGCAGCAGGCAGTGTGGCGGCATAAGGAACACGCTGATTCCCGGAGAAACATCACACCCATCTACCAGCCTGGACAACTAGTGTGGCTCTGAACCTGAGATATCCAGCTGTGCCTGCCCTGAAGCAAGCTTAGTCCCAAGTACATTGGTCCATTCCAGGTCGTAAAACAAGTCAACCCCGTCACTTATGAACTGAATATACTAACACACTACCATATTCACCCTACGTTCCATGTATCTCTCTTGAATCCTCACCATCCACCTGTTTCTGCCCCTTACACAGAGCCTGGTATCCATAGACTACATTGTCTTCATTGTGTTTATGTACCTAAGGGATGTCCAATCCTGCTCCTGGAGGGCCACTGTCCTGTAAAGTTTAGCTCCAACCCCTATTAAACACACCTGAACCAGCTAATCAAGGTCTTACTAGGCATACTAGAAACATCTAGGCATATGTTTTGAGGCAAATTGGAACTAAACTCTTCAGGACATTGGCCCTCCAGGATTGAGTTTGGATACCCCTGACTTACATGCTTACATGCAAGGATACTGTTTAATATAGCTAAGATGGGTTGAGGGTGAGTAAATTATGGGATAACTTTCATTTTTGTACTATTTTTGAACTATCCCATTTTGAACTATACCTTTAAATAAGGGCATTTTTTAATTTACATTTTTACATTTATTTAGCTTTCAGAAGAAGAAATTGGGAAATTGAAGAAAAATAGAAAGATGTTGATAATTTTACTTTTTTAAAGCTTTCTTTTAAATTACATATTACAATGTAGAATATATTGCAGTACTTTACCACAAATGTTCTGCAGCATGCCTTGCACATTTATAACAATAAATGACACTATGCCTTTTATTTTTACAGATAATTGCCAGAGAGCAAAGAACAGAAAGTGAGGGACCACATGAGCATTTACGTGTAGAAGATGAAAAGCTTGCAATGACAAAAACACTCCTTCACAGATTTCACCTTGACAAGCATGGATATAAATTGAGAGCTGCAGATTTTCTTCAGATAACTGAACATTCATTACAGTCCCATGTGTTTTGTGCTGAAGAAGAGCTGATTCAGACTTTCCTTCAAAAACTACTGATAATGGACTACAGAGCAAGATACATTAATGTTGAGACCAATGACGAAGGTCACAACCAACAAGGCAGCAGTGATTCGCCTATACAGGAAGCAGATTGTGATGATATATTTTTTGAATTAATGTCTAACAGAGAAAGAAGTCAATTTGACCCTGTGCACCCAATGGATGTTCAGATGGTTGTGTTTCATTGTGCTGATGGTTTCCTGAAGCAGCTAATGGTGACTAAACTGTCCCAGTGTCAGTACGCTCTGCCTTTGCTTGTTCCTGATCCATTCACACAACAGATTGAGTTTCCTCTCTGGACATTCAGACAAATCAACAAGAGCTGGAAGATGACAAACATCAACAATGAAACGATCAGTCAAACCCAGCCGATCTACAAGGCAGAAACTCCAATGGTGTTTTTCTTCAGGTTTGGCTCTGTGTCTTCATCCAAGTCTCAGCTGATGAATAGTTTGATCAATGAGAAACACAACACGTTCTTTCACAGGAACTGCCCAGGCAGCAGCAGCACCAGAGTCCTGATGGATGGAGTGGTGGAGATTGCCTGGTTCTGCCCCTCTGGGAAAAACGTGGATAAATTCAGTAACCTGTGCATTCTGTAATCTACATGGAGATGCAGGAGTCCATGAGAAACAGCTGCAGATCCTCACTGAAATGGTCTCAGTCAATGTTGTTCTTCTATCACAACTTGAGAGGAATGACAGAAGCATGATGAAAGTTCAAGAACTCTATAAGGATTCAAAGCCACTCATTTGTCTTTTTGCTAAGAATGATTCAGCATTCACTAAGACACGGAAATGAAAATACAAGATTGGTTTGAAAGACAGAAATCAGTCAGAAGTATCTGAAGAACTCAGAAGAGTTATAAATGATCGTCTCTCAGAATCATCTTCCACTTTCAGACTTGAAGATGTGTCCAAACACTCAGATATCAGAGTAGATGAGGAAGTTGATGAGGACTGCAGGAGAGGAAGAGAAGCAGCACAGCAGATGATGTGTTTACTGGAGAAGAAAGATCTGAGAGGAATCAAAGAATCATTTCTGCCTCATCAGGGGAAACTGTGGCATCAGTGGAGTCAGAAGAACAAAGAACTACATCAACCTCAAGCAGATGATACAGAAATGGAAAGAAGTATAAAATTTGCAGACCTAATAAAAATCCGTGAGAACCAGCATGATTCTGACATCAGTGCGTTTATAAGGTTCTTTATTAATGAAATGAACTCAGGTGCTACAAATAAGATGTTTTTCATTAAATGGCTTGGGATCCTCCTGGATGAATATATCTCAGCAGATCTTTATTTCCTACATTATGAGTACAATGAAAAATGGTTAACAGTATTGAAATTGAAAGAAAAAAAACAATGGATCTGAACAGCTGAACAAACTGAACTTGAAAGAATATCTGAGGAACTTCAAGCTGCAGCCTTTGGTTTGGAGCACATCATGAGGGAGATCGGTCAGATCTATGAATCATGCTCATCTGTGAGGAAGAACAAGAAAGACCTGCAGATTGACTTCTTTTCTCTCCCGAGTTTTGCAGCAGAGATGATGATCTCTGGATTTCCACTGGAGCTGATGGATGGAGATGCTACTCATGTTCCTGTGATCTGGATCTCTGCTGTGCTAGATGAACTCATCCAGACTGGAATCAATGGATGCTATTATGATGGAATCTTTGTACAGATTTTTGCTCAACTGTAGTGAAAAGTAAAAAGTCTTTTAAATCATCACATCAGTGGTTTCCATATAAAGAATATAGAAAACTTGGTTTATAAAGTTTATGCTAACTGGAGCATCACTTCTAACTGTTCTAAGTGTTTGTACTGGAAGTGGTTTGTATGCAGATTCCAGAAACATCTGGAAAAGTACTACGAGAAGTCATTTGAAGGGAATGGTAGGATCCCAGAATTGTGGAAATTATACACAAAAGAGGATGCAATTAAGAGTTTAAAATACTACACTCCTACTCCTAGAAGATATTTATATTTTAAATTAACATGTTAGGACAGGATAATATTTTTACAGATGCCTCTTGAAATAAAAGAAAAACACAGGTGCTTCAAGAAGCCCTTACAAGATAAACATATATGAAATTAAATGGCATTCTTCAGCAACAAGACTTGAAAAAAAGACTGATTCTCAAAGGACACATCATGAAAAGAGCACAGAACTTGACTTAAGGTTCAAAGACAAAGCAAGAGTTTGATTTGTTCTGGAAACAGTCTGTGAAGATCTGCATAGAAGCTCCTGTCATTCAAAGACATAAAAAAGAAGGACAGAATCGGATGCAAGACTTTGTGCTTCTTGTATATGCACTTTCTAAAGAGGATGAATTCCAAATGAGAACTTTTGTCATAGATAATGGATAATGCCATTTTAGCATTGCTTCTGTATTTAAGAACTCATGAATTAATGTCAGGACAAGAGTAAGGGCAATCATTTGATGAACATTTTATCAATCACACTGAGACCTTTAAAATGATACCAAACATGAGAGAAAAACAACAACAACAAAAAATATAGATTCCCAAGATGCATCATATATGGCATATAGACCTTTCTGAAAGGAGGGGATTAGGGAGAGGGTTTGATGGGTGAGAACAGGGGTGGCAAACTCCGGTGCAGGAGAGCCACAGTCCTGCAGAGTTCAGTTGATAAATACTCACCTGCCTATAGCTTCCTAGTAACCCTTTAGACCTTGATTAGCGTGTTCAGGTGTTTGATTAGGGTTGAAGCAAAACTCAGGACTGTGGCTCTCCAGGACCGATGTTCGGCACCCCTGAGAAGGCAGTGCCCTGTGCTCTGTTCTTTGAGATCTTCTTTCCAGATTAGTGAGTTTCATTGTTTTATTGCAGGGTGTTTGATCTTGTGTTCTGTTTTAGATGGAAAACGAAAAATAATGCTTATCTCTAAAGAAATTTGAAGTAAAAGTTCAAATTACTTCTCCAGTGTTTTACCAAGTTTTCATTCATGTAAAAATAAACTTCACTGTCATGTTTTAGCCTTGTTATATCTTTTAATAAGATATCAATATTTTTCAAGGGATTGTATCTAAGTTAGGGATTTCAGTATTGAGAAAACACTAATGTGTGTGTGTGTGTGTGTGTGTGTGTGTGTGTGTGTGTGTGCGCGTGCGTGAAAAAAAAAATATGAAAAAAAAAAACCCTTTGCTTGGTCTTGGGTTATACATGTCTAGGACGGTCTGGGAATGAAAAAGTTTGGGAACCCGTGCTTTAGTGTAAGAAAACATGATTGTGGCAGTTCCTGCTCA